TGTGTGTGTGTGTGTGTGTGTGTCTGTGTGTGCGTCTGTCACGCTTATTCATCTCAAGATCTATAAAAGCTACAGGGATAAAACTTTGGGGACTTAATCTATATGCACGTACGGGCCCCAATTCCCAAAATGAGCGCTCTTACCCGCGTGGTATCCACGTACAGCCTCGCCAAAGTTTTTTACGGGCAAGCTGCTAACTCGGGAACCAGAAGTGCTTGGGGGCTGAAATTTTAAAGGGATGTTCCCAGTCCAATTAGGTATTAATGAGCTCAAACCCAGTCCCCGGGTAAGCGTGGTACCAGCGTACGGGTCCACCAAAATTTTTTTCGGGTAATTTCATAACTCGGGGATCTAAGAAGCTAGAATGCTGAAATCTTAAAGGAATGTTCCACGTCCAAGTGGATATCGATGTGCTCAAACTCAGTCCTCGGGCATGCGTGGTACCCAAGCACGGGCTCGCCAAATTTTTTTTTTTGGGTAAGTTAATAACTCGAGAATTTGAAAAGCTAGAGGAATGTAATTTTAAGAGGATATTCCTCGTTCACCTTAGTTTCAGCGAGCTCAAACTCAGCCCTCAGGTATGCTTGGTACCCACGCACGGGCTCACCAAACTTTTTCTCCTAACTCGGGAATCTGAAAAGCTAGAAGACTGTAGTTTTAAGAGGATATTCCCCGTCCACGCAAGTCTCAACGAGCTGAAAACCAGACATCGGGTATGCGTGGTGCCCACGTGCGGCCCGTGAAAGTTTTCTTCCAGTAAATTGCTAATTCATGGCTAGAGAGCTAAAATTTTAAGACGGTGTTTCCTGAAAGTTCTGACGACCAGTCTTAATTTGTTAAGCTAGAAACATCTGCCGAAACTGTGCAAAAAACACATCTTCGCACGGGCAGCCGTGCGTTGGCCAATTATTCTTTGCTGTCGTCTCCAGTTCCTGCCTCCGAGTTCTTGGCTAGTATCCTCGTTTCCCTTTTCTACCCTGTCTCCAGTTCTGCCTCCAAAAAAGCACTCGGTCCTCTGCAACCCCTCCCCCTCCCTCCTCATAACCACACTGTTCAGTTAAGATGTCTATCCCTGCCTTTTTCTTGCCCCAAACTCTCGTGGTCCAAACCTATCTCCCCTTCCACCCTCCCTCCTCCCAAATCTGCACTACCCTACACCTAGAACTTTTCCCATCACCGTCAGCAGTTTTCGCTATCCGTACATCAACCGAAGCCGAGCCGAGTTTTAGTAGTTGCGAGTTTTTTTTGAGTTGTGTGTGTACTTTGGCAAGCTGTTTTTGGCTGTGGTTTCTTTCTTCTGGCTCATTTAGGGGGACTCACTGCCGCCTTTTATGGCTGAAATGGCTTCCGAGTCAAATCAGGTCACGCGAATGGGAGACATCCTGCAGCACAGTGTCCAGTAGGTCAGTGGCCCAGACATGGGCCCCTTTGGATGGCTTAGAAGCCCTCCCTGCACCCCGTCGCCGCCTGCTCATCTCCATTTATAGTACAATCAAAAATGTCATGTTTTTTTCTTTTCTATTTTATGTAATTTGTTTATTTGTATGTTATGTATGTTTGTATGTGTGTATTTATGTATGTATTTATATAC